AAAACAATGTACTAGGCTCTATCATTCCTATCTGTTGAGCTTTACTGGTGTTTGATGCCACTTCAATTAATTAAAAAAAAAAAAAAAAATATATATATATATATATATATCTAAAGGCATCAATAGACTTTTAATGTATAACTATACCCTCAACCTAGACAAAGGAAAATTTGCTTGTGCCAGGATTTGGACTTAGATGCCAACCCTAAAACAGTACATAATAGTATATAGAAGTAATGAAAAGAAAGGGCCTTTAAGCTTCTGCATCTGATTTCAACACACACTAATTCAGCCATGTATTGCATCATGCAAAGTAAAAAGCAATAAAAATGAACACACAAATGAAAAAAAATTTTTAACAAAAAGGAAAAACCTGCTCAGTTGCTTAAACTTAAATTTGCAGTATGTATCCCCAAAAGAGCATCTTACCTGTTAAGCTGCCTTGGAATATATATAAGGCATCACAGACAGCAGGAGGTGGATGCACCAGTCCTTGAAAAAAACCCATGGAATGCTGAAACCAACCAGCAGGCAAGAACACCCACTCAATGCTGCCCGAAACAGGAATGAGCCCTTCACTGCACTGCTCCCCAAGGTCCCACAATTACCCATAAGCACTGGGTTGTAACTTAATGACTGCAACAATAACCACAATTATTTTCACTCATGGAATTGGTTTATGATTTTAAGAAAAGGAAAATTGAAAATTTTTGCACTAGTTATCTTATAATTTTCCCTAGGAAACTAGCAAAACTGCCAAATGTATGTAATTGTTTAGTTGATTTCATTTGCCCAGAATTATTAGGCTCAGCTCTCTTGTTGAGGGTAATCAAACTTCCCTTCATCAAGCCAACAAACACTATTAGTCCTTAATTCTGTCATGTGTCCACATAAATTTACAAGGAGAGAAAATGACCTAAATAATAATGATCTCAGTTTTTAAAAATGTATCTAATAAGAGATTTCTTTCATTATTATTTATAACTAACAAGAGCTTTATCTTCTCTGAATGTTTTAAAAATATTTACTGCATGTAGCAACCCCTATTTTTTGTGAGGTAGTTTACATGTTTACATTTCATTTAATCCTCACCATCTGAAAGCAACCATAATAGAAATAAAAACTTAAGGTAAAAAGCTTAATATTAAAATTTATAGTCTGGGGACGCCTGGGTGGCTCAGTTGGTTAAGCGGCTGCCTTCGGCTCAGGTCATGATCCCAGCGTCCTGGGATCGAGTCCCACATCGGGCTCCTTGCTCATCGGGGAGCCTGCTTCTCCCTCTGCCTCTGCCTGCCCTTCTGTCTGCCTGTGCTTGCTCTCTCTCCCTCTCTCTCTCTCTCTGACAAATAAATAAATAAAAAAATCTTTTAAAAAAAAAAAAAAATTTATAGTCTGAACTTTAGACCAGTACTCAATTCACATAAGATTACTTTTCTTAAAAGAGGAATGGTTCTTTGCAAGAAGCTATAGTTTTTATAATACAAACTAATTACCAGTTGACATACACCACCACCAACCTGCCTATGCCTTAGTAGTTATCAGTTTAATTATCATTTGGTAATGTACAATTTACATTGAGACTGCATCAGTCCAGAGTGATAAAATGCATTGTTAGCAGTAGCATATGCTGAGATCCACAACAGGACAGCTTGCTTTTATCAGTTGTTTGCAGTAAAACTGACTACATTATCACATAGCATTTAATAAGTAATTCAGGCATCCAAAATTGATATTAACAATAAAAGCTAACATTTATTTAGCATTTATTAAATGCCAGTCCCTCTAAGAGCTAGCAACTACCCCGTTCAGTAAGAACTATTATCATCTCCATTTTGTAGATATAGGAAATTATGGTCCAAAGAGTTAAGTCACTTTAAGGTCACACAAGCAGTAAATGGGGAGAACTGAAATCTCAACCAACTTTGGTTCTAAAAGTAATACAGACAATAACAGTGAGGACAGAATATAAGGACAACCCAACTCACTAATAGATATATAGCTTTCAACAAATTAAAGATTGTTATAATTGTTATAACAATTGTTATAATGTTATAAGCATTATACAACTGACTCCCCAGGAGTAAAATTGTAAGCTGTTGAATTCTGTGAGCATAAAGGGTAGAGAAGGAGAACTGGAGTACCCTTAATTTATGAATGAAAGTTGGGTAGAAAAAGCAAAATTCTAAAAACTTGCTAAGTAACAAATTAAAGATGGGGTGGTAGAAGGAATCTGTGAACAATATTGGGTAGTCTTAAAACTAACAATAAGATGATCAGATGAAAAATCACCTCATGGATTTTTCTGAGTGGATTCAAAGGGATATAAAGAGATGAAAAGACACACATAATTCTAGGTTGTGCTTGTTAATGGTTCCAAAGGGGAAGCTAAGAATTTGCCTGATGTGATCAGTAATGGAAGCTAGTAGAGAATTTAAGAGGGTGGTAATAGATGGAGTAAAAAAAGGCAGACATGGGTCGGACGCCTGGGTGCCTTAGTCACTTAAGCCTCTGCCTTTGGCTTGGGTCATGATCTCAGGGCCCTGGGACAGAGTCCCATGTCAGGCTCCTTGCTCAGTGGGGAGCCTGCTTCTTCCTCTGCCTGCTACTCCTCCTGCTTGTGCGCTCTTTCTCTCTCTCTCTGACAAATAAATAAAAAATCTTAAAAAACAAAACAAACAAAACACCAGACACAAGAGGATCTGGCTGCAAGTACGTAAGATTATTGTAAGGTCAAAGAATTCATTTCTATTGATGAAGTAAGAGGGAGGGTGAATAGGAATTCAACAAGAATAAGAAGTTTGCACTGTTACAAAGAAGTCTACAATATGAAGTAAAAATGTAAGCCTAGGACATACTGAAAGTATGAAGACATCATTTAAATAAGCAAGATAATCAAGACTTAAGATCCATGAGGGATGATGAAGACAGCTACTTTGGTAACTTGGGTCAAACCTTTCTTCAAAATTTTGCCCAAAAAGGAACAAAAGGAAAGGGAAGAAATACTATTACTGAGAATATAAGGTCTGAGAGTAAAATGGCAGAAATGATTTAAAGGCCAACAAACATTAAAATACCATGGTTGGCTAGAGTTAATTTTGAGACTCACGAGTCAGAGAAGACCTGTAGCAGCAGTACTTTAAAATTTAAATTCCCCTCACAGACTCCAAAATAAGAGCAGAAGTGGGAATACAAACCTATGAATAGACATGTTATGAACATTTGGTCTCAAATGCCAATTCTTTTTGAAAATTGATCTCTCTATGAGCTTTGGGGTATGATTCAAAACCTGTAACTGGAGAATTTCATAACAGCTGGGTCCATCATGGATCTTTGAAAGAACTAAAACTTCTAAAATAACATTTCATAAATCACACTAGCACAGAAAGTGATATAATTCCCCCCGCCTTTTTTGTCAGCAGATAGAAACTATTCCAAGGCTGAGAACAGTGTCAAAGCTAACCCTACCAAAGAGGAAAATATTAAGTTAGCAGCTTTGAGTAGTACAGATAGGAGTAGTATTCATGGGAAGAGTGGCGTTTAATCACACCCAAGTGTTGAATGACTAATAATGGGTCAGCCTGAAGCTGGTGGATTCTCCAGAGGATGGAGGAGGACATGTTCACATGACAGCTTGATGTCTGTGCTAGAAAAAGTTCAGACCAGGAATTAAACACCGTACAATTCCAAGGGACACCATGAATTTTGTCATCTGTTGTGGATGGCATCCCCTCCATTTATATAGTAACAGCCTGCCCATCCTAACACAGCCATGCTGGCTCTAACAGCTCACTGCTTGATCAAGAGCTCCCAGGTTTATATGAAAACCATATCATTCCTTTCTTGTTACCACTTCCTCAACTTTAAAAGGGTCTAAAATGCCAAAGAATATTCTTTCATCCAAATAAGTATTTGTTTTATCAAAATAAAATATTATTGCTGTATTTTTTCATTTGATACTGTTGTGAAATAATTTTCTTTTTAATTAACTGAGTAAAATGAAAGAACCTAAGGGAATTGAGTCATCTGGCCAATCACTTACTCTATGTGAACATTTCCCAGAATTTTTTTCCACAGAATATGGAATTAATATGGAATATTAAAAGAGTTCCATGGTAAGCAAGTTGAAATGCCACAATTATCCATCTGGGAGTATCATCACATGTATTAGCCTAGTAAGGCCCTAAAGAAATTGGTTTTGTTATCCCAGTGATTCCCATTCTTCTTTGATCATAAAACTTGTTTTGTTTTGAGGAACATCAGTGATATGAGAAGAGTTTGGGAAATGCCACTCAAAGGTTACCATGTATACATGTATTACTTGTAAACAATTAAAACAGAACATCCAAAACTAAAATAAGATTTCTTTGATGACTGTAGAGTACTAAAGGAAACTGCAGTGCCTCAGGATCAACAAACGTTGGTTGATAGATTTATCTGGTAAAATGACAAGCAAAACTCCATTTATTGCATATTCAGTGATGCCAGAAATATAGGACAAAAACCATGTTTTATAGTACTTACTGTCACTTAGCACATAATTCTCATAAGATGGATAAAAATATATCAGTATTTGGACTGAGCATTTTAAGTGTTCAGTAAGAACATATAGCTGTACTTATTTTAAAACTTGTTTATCAGAAAACATCTACATGTCTGGGACTTCAGGAGCTCACAACCTTAGTAATCACTCCTCATGTTACCGACTACATTGAGAATATCTACTGATACCAAAACAATGGCACCTACTGAAGATTATTACAATACTTACCACATTACAAAAAGAATCCAGACCAATGCTATGTACATACTTAGTACATTCTGGATTAGACCAAGTAAAATTTAACAACAAGCTGAACAGCATTCTATAAAACAAAAACAAAAAGTCAGTTAGGCTAATTCTGTCTGTTTTTCTATGCTATGGACTCATAGTGAGAAAGAAGATTGTCTTGGACTTGATGACTGAATCAAATCTGAGTTCACTAAAGTTTATCTACATTTACCTTAAGAGAAGTTCTTTGGGTAACTTTTTGTTAATAAGGCCTTCGTCATTATTTGAGAAAACCTGAAAGAAAAAAAAACAAGGACATTGTTAAAGTGTTCCCCAATGAAAAAAAAGTTACATGGTCATAACAGCCCCAATTACTGTCCTACATATATGATAACTAATTTCATGAAGCCATCATCCTTCAATATTAATGGATATAAAAAGAGTTTATACCTCCTCACCACTTCATAAAAATGCAACAGTGATTTCTATGCTACATTGCATTAGAAGTTCTAGCCAAGCTTATTAGGCCAGAAAAATACATAAAAGGCATCCTGACTGGAAGGGAAGAGGTAAACAACTTCTATTTACAGGTAACTTGATCCTATATATAGAAAATTTTAAGAAATACACACACACACACACACACACACACACAAACATTAGAAGTAATCAACGAGTTTAGCAATACAATATACAAATATGTAATACATTTATACACAAATTGTCTTTCTGTTCATTAGCAATGAACCACCTGAAAATGAAATTAAAACAATCTCATTTATGGGGTGCTTGGGTGGGTCAGTCAGAACAACCAACTCCTGATTTTGGCTCAGATCATGATCTCAGAGTCCTGGGATCAAGCTCTGTATCAGGCTCCATGTTGTGCACTGGGAAGTCTGCTTGGAGATTCTCTCTCTCCCTCTCCTTCTGCCCCTCCCCTCACTCACATTCTCTCCCTCTTTAATACAAATAAATAAATTACAACAGCATCAAAAAGAATAAAACATTTAGGAATGATTTAAAGAAATGCAAGACATATACTGAAAACACACACAAAAAACTCTGTTGAGAGAAATTAAAGAAAACAAATTGAAACAAATTTCACATTCACAAATTCAAAGATTTAAGAGTGTTAAGTTAGCAACAGTTCTCAAACTGGTCCACAGATTTAATGAAATCTCTATCAAAATCCCAGCTGTCTTTTTTTCTTTTTTAATTGTAGAGTTGAGAAGCAGCTGGGTGGCTCAGTCAGTTAAGTATCTGCCTTCTACTCGGGTCATGATCCCAGGGTCCTGGGATTGAGCCCTACACTGGGCTCCCTGCTCAGGGAGGAGCCTGCTTCTCCCTCTCCCTCTGTTAGCTGCTTCCCCTGCTTGTGCTCTCTTTCTGTGCCAAGTAAATAAAATCTTAAAAAAAAAAAAATTGAAGAGTTGATCCTAAAACTCATATGGAAATGTAAGAGTCCCAAAAGAGCCAAAATAATCTTGAAAAGGGAAACAAAGTTGGAGGACTCACACTTCCTGATTTCAAAACTTACTACAAAGCTACTGTAATTAAAACATCATGGTACTGGAATAGGATAGAAATATAGATCAATGGAACAGAACAATCCAGAAATAAACCCTTATATTTACAAGCAATCAATTTTGGACAAGTGCTCTGAGATAATTCAATGGAGAAAAGAATAGTATTTCAACAGACGGTGTCAGGACAACTGGATGTCCACATGCAAAACAATAATGTTGTATCCCCACCTCACATTATATTAAAAAATCAACTCAATATGGATCAAAGATTTTTAAAAAATGAGTTAAAACTTAAAAGAAAAGAATAAGCATAAATCTTGGGGATCTTGGATTATGTAATGATTTTGTAGATATGATACCATAAGTATAAGCAGCCAAAGAAAAAATAAATTGGACTTCATCAAAATTAAAAACTTTTGTGTCATAGGACATCATCCAGAAAGTAAAAAGAAAAATCCATAAAATAGGAAAAAGTATTTGCAAATCACATATCTAATAAAGGAATTATATACAGAATATATAAAGAACTCTCACAATGCAACAAACAGAAAAATAAACCAGTTAAAAAATAGGCATAAGATCTGAATAGACATTTCTGCAAAGAAGATATGCAAATGGCCAATAAGCACATAAAAATAAGTTCAACATAATTAGTCATTAGGGAAGGTCAAACCAAAACCACAATAAGACACTGCACAGCCACAAGGACAGCTAAAATAAAAAAGATACTAATAATGGCAAGACTGTGCAGAAATTGGAACCTTCATACACTGGAAAGTAAAACAATGCAACCACTTTGAGAAGCAGTCTAGTAGTTAAACATAGAGTTACCAGATAAACTAGCAATCCCAATCATAGTAGTTACTAAGAAAATAAAAACAAGTATCTAAACAAAAACTTGTACATGAACGTTCACAGCAGTCTCACTCCTAATGGCCAAAAAAGTAGACTCAATCCAAATGTTCATCAGCTGATGAATGTATAATCAAAATGTGGTATATTCGGGGTACCTGGGTGGCTCAGTGGGTTAAAGCCTCTGCCTTCAGCTCAGGTCATGATCCCAGGGTCCTGGGATCGAGCCCTGCATCGGGCTCTCTGCTCAGCAGGGAGCCTGCTTCCTCCTCTCTCTCTGCCTGCCTCTCTGCCTACTTCTGATCTCTGTCTGCCAAATAAATAAATAAAATCTTTTTAAAAAAATGTGGTATATTCATACAATGGAAGATTATTCAGCAATAAAAAGGAATGGAGACTGATATATTACAACAGAAATGAGCCTTGAAAACATTATGCTACATAAAAGAAGACACACATAAAAGGCCACATATTGCATGATTCCATTTACATTAAACATCCAGAAAAGACAAATCCATGCAGACAGAATTAAGATTAGTGGTCACCTAAAATGAGTGAGTGACTGCTGATGGAGTTTCTTTTTAGAGTTATAAATATGTTCTTAAATTAAGTGTGATGAAGACACAACTTGATGAATATACTAAAACACACTGGATTGTACATTTTAAATGGGTGAAATTCACAGTATATGTGTAATATCTTTATCTATTTCTAGATTTGTACCCAATGTGGGGCTGAAACTAGCAACCGTGAGATCTAGAGTCGCAGGCTCCACCAACTGAGTCAGCCAGGTGCCCCTGTAATATCTCATTTTTAAAAATGGATTTTAAAAACCCATATATACCATAATCCATCAAAGCAAACTACAGAAATGGAAAGAATACTGTAAATAGTATCCTACACTCATTTTAAAAATGTTTTCAATGATTAGTTTCAGCAGTGCGTATGTGAGTATAGGATTGTGACAACACTGGCTCCATTTTTGGCCCTGCATCTTGTTCTCCCCTCAGTGCAGAAATGACACCACTTTACATAACTAGTAGACAGCCTGCTCTAGCACACAGGTGGCACCACTTTAGATAACTAGTACAGATCTTCTAGGACACAGATGGCCTCACTATAGATAACCACCTTGTGACCACACCACCATACCCCTTGCACTATAAAAGTTGTGGGTTGAGATCCAAGCTAGGTGGGGAATGGGGGTAGAGTACCCTGGATCCTCTGTCCACCTGCTGTCCCAATACCCTGTCAGTAGGTGACCCTGAATAAAACTGTATAAATGGTATAGAACAGCCTTCTTTGTTTTGCAGTATTCAAGTGCCTTCTCAGTCTGGAGGATACATTCCTGACCATCCTCCACCTTCTAACAGCGAGATACGAACATTAAGTCCCTATTGTATTCCAAGCTCCATTAAGCACTGAGTTCATTACATAATTTACTTTTTTCTAGTTTCTTGAAATGTAAGTTAGGTTACTGATTTGAGATTTTTTTTTTAAAGATTTTATTTATTTAATTGACAGACAGAGATCACAAGTAGACAGAGAAGCAGGCAGAGAGAGGAGGAAGCAGGCTCCCCTCTGAGCAGAGAGCCAGATGCGGGGCTTGATCCCAGGACCCTGGGATCATGACCTGAGCCGAAGGCAAAGGCTTTAACCCACTGAGCCACCCAGGCACCCCCTGATTTGAGATTTTTTTAAAGATTTTATTTGAGAGAGAGAGAGAGAATGAGAAAGAGAGCATGAGCTGTGGAGAGGGGCAGAGGGAAAGGGAGAAGCAGACTCCTTGCCGAGCAGTAGGAAGCCCAACTCAGGGCCTGACCCCAGGACCTGGAGATCATGACCCAAACCAAAGGCAGATGCTAAACCGACTGAGCCACCCAGGCACCCCAGATCTATCTTCTTTTTTAATGTAGGCATTTACAACAATATATTTCCCTCTGATCACTGCTTTCACTCCATCCCATGAGTTTTGATATGTTGTGTTTTCAATGCCATTTGTCTCAAATTATTTTCTAATATCCTTTTTATTTCTTCTTTCACCTACTGGTTAAAAGTCTACTGTGTAATTTCCACGTATTTGTGAAATGTCCAGTTTTCCGTCTTCCTTTTTTTTTTTTTTTTTTAAATCTCTGGCTTCATTTTATTGTGGTAAGAGAAGATACTTCATGTGAAGTCCATCTTTTGAGAATTATCAACTATTTTTGTGGCCTAACATAAGGTCTGCCCTGAAGAACAGGATAGGTTCCATAGGAATAGGAATACATTCCACATTCACTTGAGAAGAATGAATTCTGCTATTGTTTGGTGGAGTGTTCTATATATCTCCAGTAGGTCTATTTCCTTATTGATATGCTAACTACCGTGTTACTTACAGTATGTTGTTGAGGTCTCCAATTGGTGTTGAGGGTGGTGGAGAGTGACATGACAATCTTCACATACTTTGATAGCTGTCAGAAAGATGGGCTTATTTTCCGTTATTATAAAGAACAGTGAATCAAAGCTACAAGATTATAATTCAGTGCAGGGAAGAATTGTATGGCAATGAGACTAGCCCATACTAGAATGTTTTACTCTTTCAAGTGGTGATGCTCTATCCACACAATGCTCCTACAAGTATCACAGAACCAGGTATGTTGAAGAAAGAAATCCCTTCTTTCAGGGGGAGGTTTGAATAGAAAATCTCTAAGAACCAAATCTAATTTACTGAATCTACCATTCAGGTTCTGCCAAGTACATTGCTGTTACCTTGGTATGTCACTTAATTTTTCTATGCCATGAATTCCTCTTTTGTAAAATGGGGATAATGAGTAACTCTGCCACAAGGGCTGCTGTGAGTTACAGGAGTTCACGTATGTAAAATGCCTAGAATAATCTTGGCAAATAGTGAGTGCTCAACAAATAATAGTTAGGATG